GGACTTGGGTAAATGAATGCCCAAGGTGCCATATCCATGGGTGTCCATGCTGCCTCCAGGGATTTGTGTTTCCACATTTTGCATTCCACATTTGACAAGACTCAAAAAGACTACAGTCAATATAGGCTTTAGCATAATACTTCCTGTGTGTTAGTTTTGATTAGAAGGAAGAGAGTATTCTCTTTGATCCCTGTGTCTTCTGAGAGAAATTGACAGCCTGTGGATTCTTGGTGTACGTGTTAAAATAACAGGAACGTGCCAGGAAAGGGTTTTGGAAGTGGCAGTGGGATGAAGCATTGCCCTGACTCTGTAGAAAACATGTCCAGAGTGGAAATAAGAGCAAGCACAGGACTAGTTATCCATTTGAAGGGTTTTAATCTCCGGACAAATTGCTGTGTGGCAAATAAGAAGTTTTCAGTGTAAATTGGACAATCAAATAAGGCATTTGAGCCTTCTAAAATAATGTCTTTGTTAAAATGTAAGGTGAGGAGATGCCTGAAACACACGTGTGAGGAGATTATGAGGAACATCTTTGTGTCTTCAAGATTTTAAGGGAAGTACATGCTGAGGTAATATGAGTATTTGGCACTTGAGCAAATTCACATATGCAGTGCATGGTTAAATCATGAAAGGATCCTTATGAGGTGTCAGTGAATGAAGAGTAATTCTTGATAAATTCACACTCTGTGGCTTAAAAATGCATGCTTTGATCTTTGGGAAATCATGTAGCTCTCTGTTAGTGAATTAATGGCAGACCATGATTGTAACTTGGATGTATATTTCATATGCAATGCCTCTCTCTTATTTGAACTGTGTGTGTTGAGAAGCCATAAAAACCTATGTGGCTTCAATTGAAAAAAAGGAAAAAAATATAGTAATAAACATACCCCAAGACAACAACCCAGTGAGTTCATGGCAACAAATAAAAATGCATTTAATGATAATGCTCTTTTTTCCCTATCTTGTTTTCATTGTTCTGGATACCCAAAATTATTCTTTTGGTGTTGAATTAATGGTTTCAAGTGGTATATCTGCTGCAATGTGTTAAAAATGTGAGATGGAGTCAGGCTCAAACCTTACTAGGACCATCTCCAGTGCAATTCTGACATTGTTCACTCTGAAATTTAGAAAAAAATTGCAGAAATCCCAGATTGTAGCAGAATAGTTTGGCTTTTTATTTTTCGCTGTTCCTTTGGCAAATGAAGGAAGTTACCATCATCCTCCAGTGATTTTTCTACAGAATTCTATTTTTCAATTGCAGAGAAGCAATGAATGCTTGTCATTTGGGGAAATGTGTAGTCTAATGCCTTGAAGACCTTGCGTGGTTTGATTATTTAAATTTATTGCTCCACAGTCAGCTCCCTGGGCATTCCCCACTGCCCTGTCCTCCAGGGCTGCTTCACATCACTTTCAGGTCTTGAACCTCATGATGTTTGAGCCAATATTCTCAGACAAAATATCTCAAGCACTGTTGACAGACAGAGGAAATGTAAAAGCCAAAACAGAGGCCAACAAGGAGCTTACAGCTACAGGTGCTCAGAGCTTTCAGCATTGCTGGCAGTGCTTACCTGGCTCTTGCCCTTAGAGCATGTAAAACCAGTAAAACCTTTGAGGAATCACACCTTCACCATGTGTGAACCTTTCAGGAATCACACCTTCACCATGTGTGGTTTGTCCTCTCCTGGGTAATGGAAAATGTTTTCAGGGCTCAGCTTTAATAAAACAAAATGGGGCACAAATGGAACAAATCCTGTCTGGAAGATATTTTTAAAAACTTTCCATCTCAACCAGCTCAGACAGCTCATGCACTTCTCTGCTAACCGGGAGGAGCATTTGTTTGATACTTTTCTTGAATGACTTTCTTGCATTCCCCCCACAAATGCTCTTTCAGGGGGAGGGTAGTGAGTCCTTTGGAGAGCATGTGGCTTTTGAGGGATTTAGTTAGAAATTCTGTTGCTAGGAAGCCTGTAAAGAGAAATGTGGATGAAAAGCATGAATGCATACAGTAGTCCTCAAATAGCCCTTCTATCCATCTGTCACGTGTCAACATTTGTTTATGGAAATATCCTTTCCCAGATGTCAGTCTACTTCATTCAAAACTTCACAAGTTTGCTGTAAAATTGCTTTCTTCTGCTGTGCAGATGACTCCCAAGTACCTTAAAGGCAAATAATAAGCATTGACCTCAAGCAAAGCCCTTTTATTGTTCAGTTGATGTACTTCTCCTTTAGCTTTCTCTGCCTTTGTTCAGTTATATGTGTAATTTATTCTTCATTTAAATTATTTTCTGCTACAGATTTCAAAATTGCAATTAAATCATTACACTGGGACAGGGCAAAGATTAATTTGATTTTAATTCATTTTTTAATTGCAGTTTTCTCTAAAGCTTGAATTACATTTCTTTGTGTATTTAGATTTGCTACACTGGTCTAACATAAATATTAACCCACTTAAAGCTACATATTACTTTTAATCTTAGAAAAATCCTCTCTTTGGTTTGGAAGACATTTAATCTCTGTTCACCATGAAATTTTCACAAATGAGCAATGGATTTGTGTTGTTAATTCCATGTTCATGGCATTGAATCATTATTCTTGAAGGCATTTATGAATTATCCTTTGAATAAGGAATCTAGTTTTCAAATAAATTTGTGGATGTAATATTATCTCAGAGACGCATCTGAATTTTTCACGTTCTATATCTAGACTATGTTTGTCTAGGCAAGGGCATTCTGCTGTCCCTTTTGGTCACAGGAAAAGGTTAAACATTTGAGCTAGAAGCAAAAACAGTCTGAAGGAATCACAGTTGTCACCAAGTTTTCCCACTGTCCAAGTGTGCTTTACAACTCAAAATCCATATTGGAATACAAGTTTACAGCAGGATCTCTGTCTTTGTTGCCAGGCACCACATGTAAAATAAAAAGATAAAAAAAGTGGATTCATCTTGGTATTGGCACGTGGATAATTTGATAACGTGCCATGTTGGTGCTGCTTCTCAAAAATCTTCACAGTTTAAGATTCCAGCACTCCTGTTCTCATGGAAAGATGTCCCTACTGTGAATTGCTTTCTTTCCTGGAAAGCTGGTTGGGTCAGGATGGGTGATAATGCCAGAAGCAAAAAGGATTATACAAGTCTTAACAGAGCAGAACTTCTCTTCCAAATTTATCTGAGGAATTAAAAAACCAAAATGATAGTTATGATAGAAGCCTTCTTAAATTTCTACGATCTTGGTAGTTTTGTCACTGTAAAAGTTTTGGGAAATGATGGTCTTTGCCTCACACACAAACCTGAGGACCACCAGGAACAAGGACCTTTCAATCCTCACGTTAGAATCATGCTGCTGTTAGTAAGAATGAGAATTCCAGTTAATGGCTCTTTGTTCCAGGAGCAGGCACAGGTAGTGTTTGGTGTCTCCTCCAGGTTTGCAGCGTTACTCCAATGAAATCACTTTGAGGGAGCAGACAACATCTGCCAGCCCTTGGTCATGGAACAAGGCACAAACTGCTGTGTCACATCATGATCCCAGCATGGGATCCAACCCTTCCCTGGGTTTGCTTTGTGCTCGGCAGCATTTCAGGAAGATCTGTGAGGATTTCAGGTGCCTCTTGTTGAGGAGTGATGCTCCAAAGGCCAGAGGGTGCCGTGGTGGCCAGCGGCTCCACCTGAAACAGGCGATGGCAAAGCTCACAGAGACTGAGCCAGGAGTGGGCCAGAGGCTCTGTTCAGCATCACACACAGCCCAGGAAATCACAGCCTGGAGACAGCTCCAGGGCCAAGCCAGGAAGCCCAGGGGTCAGGTCCAGACCTGGATGGAGGAGACAGGAGACCAGATGCAGATGCAGCTGCTCTGCAGCCGCAGTTTGAAATCAGCTCCAGCATTTTTACTGATTTCATCCATTTCACCACATTCCTTTTCTGCTAAGAACAGCATCTTCCAGCTTCCCAGCAATGCCATGGCCCTGCCTATGTGCTGCTGTCTGCCAAGGGTGCAGGGGACACTGGAGCATCAAAGATCACAGCAGTGACCAGAAAGACTTGCAGGAACTTTTCAAAGACTTGCAGGAACTTCAGGCAGGATTGCTGTAATGGATTCACCACATTATTTAACAATTCTGAAGTATCTGAGAAATGCATGTATGCCCCAGCAATTCAAGAGCCATTAATTAAGGTGTCACTCAAGTGGATTATTCCTGCTTGTACAGTGTCACCTAAACACTGGCCCTGCCCATGATGTGTCCAGCTTGGTGACAGTGATGGAGCTTTCTGATGTTGTTAGGAATTTGTCTGTGTGCTAAGCTTTTCTGTAAGTACCAGTGTAATTCCCATAAGTTTCTGGATTTTATGTGCTGTTCTGGGTACTGGCAGCTTAAGTGCTTTTATGGGTAGTTTGTGCTGCCACTATGACATTACAGCATTTGGAAAGATTTTGGTGAATCTCTGCCCGGTACTGTGCCCTTCCTTTACAGAAAAGCTTTTATTGGTGAAAATTAAGTAATAATGAAGGAATCTACAAATTTCCTATTTATTTAAAACAGAGATATATTTATTTATTGAACAGGTAATTAGTCGGAAGAAATATGAATATATCATCTCAATGAACTCACTTCCACCACATGGTAACAACAATGCAGAGCTGCCTCTCCAGCACATCTCACTGCAACCTTGTTAATGTTTTAATAAGGCAGCTGGGAATTACTGTGTTTTCACACTGCATTTAGTGCCATTTTACACTTAGGCTTTGTAATACAGAAGTGAAAGAGGTAAGGATTAAGTGTTAGTACAACTGTAAGGCAGCATTTGTACAGCAAGTGCTGGTAACATGCCCAGTCCTTGCTGCTGTAGATACCAGTGCTGAGCCTCTTTCAAATTTGCTCATTGTCATAGTATCTGGTCATGAACAATGAGTTGTTGTTTCATATTCCACATTAACAATAAAACCAGAGCTTTGCCTAAAATTTCTGTGCATGAACTCTCTGGTCTGTTTTTCAGGTAGTTTAGCAAAGAGACCTAAAGCAGCATCATAAATAGGAATTTAAATTATTTTAGGAAGTGTAGTTTAGGTCTGCTTGTTTGATTCCTTCTGCTGAAATGAGTTTTTATCTTTCTTTTTCTGGTGGTTTCTTTTCCATTCTACTGGATGTGAATTTGTCTCTCAATGACGTGTTTAGGGTTTGATATATTCATGAAAGGATGTCTTCTCCAAAATCCATATAGTGCATATTATTTGCTATATGCCTTGAGCCTTCTGTGCAGTCATCTGCATTCATTCTGGAAAGATGACAGAAAGATTCCTGGTAAGAATTGGGTGATAAATCAGGATTGCACTTTAACTAAGGTAATTGCAATCCTGAATTTCCTCAAGTGGTTAACTTCCCATACTACTTTATTCTAAACTTAGAAGTGATCTGAATGTTGGGTTTTCAGCTACCAAGATGAATGGAAGTACTTACTATGTAGGTGGCTGGCTATAGGGTTTTATCACATCTCTAAAATAGAAACAATATTCCTTTTCATTTTTGTGGAGACTTTTGCCTGAGGATGTTAATGCAGCTTTATAACATTCTTGGGAGGGAGAAGAACGTTATTAAATCTACTCTGCCAGCAGAGTAGATTTAGTCACACTCTAGCAGAGAGCATGTACCCCAGTGGGGCCCATATTTTCCCTGTCTCTGGAGTTTCGAGCTTATATTGTACAAAGTCTTGGTGGCAAATGCATATTTATTTGCACATCAATAAGTGCTTTGCAGCATTCATTCTATCTTGTCAATGGTGTTCATCAAATCAGAGGAAACTGCGTGCAGATCATTGGGATCAATCTGGGACTAATGTAAATAAGCCTGTGTCTTCCTAACAGCAGTTCTCCCCATTTAATACCATATTTAAATCTGACTTAAATCAGGGGATGTCTTTTGTGTGGGATAAATAAAGATAAAACAGCACAGCATTTCCAGGACCCTTTGAAACATGAGAAACCCATGAAATGTTCTTGTTCAGGAATCAAAGTTCAAGGCAGAGGAATTTTTTTTTAGAGATGGGCGGGTTTGTTGATGAGAAACTGAGATTATACTTTTTCCTTGGTACATGGGTCCTGTGAAATTCCTTTTCCCAGTGGTCTTGACCTCGTTCTTCCTTTGGAACATGTAGGTCAAATTTGATAGAAGATTTTGATAGAAGACATCAAGGCATCTTGGCTTTGTCCCTGTGTGTCTTCCTTGTGGTCTAGGAACTATCTCTGTAACTATTTTCAGGTGAAGCACATGATGAGCACAACCTATTTAAGGCATTGGGGGAAAAGCAACTGGAAATTTATTTGGTCCTCAATTCCTGGAACTTCTTCAGTTGACTGAGAATACATGAAGAATTTCATGATCTTACAAAGGACAAGGCCTCAGAAGGAGGGGGTGAAGCACATGATGGGAATGGTGGTGCTGAAGGCAAGATGGGTTCAGCAGTGCTGGGAACAAGTCCTGTGCTTCCAAGGGCTTGGTTGTGTGCTCCCTCCATAAGGCAAACTAAAAAAAAAGCCTCCTTCACCTTTATCACTTTCTCTGCTTTCTAGAAAATTCCAACAAACTCTACCAGCCTTAGAATTGCCTTGTTTGCAGGCAGGATTTTTTTTAATGGACGTATTTATGTGTCAGTTGATAGGAAAAAAATCTAAATAACAAACATCTATGTGATGAATTCTACGTGCTTGCCTGAGGAATCAGTGCCCTCTTTGATTTTCACTGTGTGTTTTCAATTATTTCTGACTCAGTCTGAGACAGTTGAGGTTGTTCAACCTGGAGAAGGAAAGGCTCTGGTGAGACCTTAGAGCCCATTCCAGTGCACATAGGGATGTGGAGGGGGGCTTTGGAGAAGTGATGGAGTGACAGGACCTGGGGGAACTTCTCCTCAGTGACAGAGGACAGGGTTAGTTGGGATATTGGGAAGAAATTCATTACCCAGAGGGTGGTGAGGCCCTGGCACAGGGTGCACAGAGAAGCTGTGGCTGCTCCATCCCTGGAAGTGTCCAAGGCCGGGCTGGATGGAGCTTGGAGCACCCTGGGACAGTGGAAGGTGTCCCTGCCCATGGCAGGGGATTGGAATTAATTCATCTTTAAGGTCTCTTCTAACCCCAAGCATTCTTTGATTCCATGATATGTGCTGAGAGAAGCAGGAAAGGACTTTTCTACAGGAAACAAAATGATTCCATAAGTATTTTGTTTGCAGACAAAGAGCATCATGTAAGTGTAATGGATCTGTCAGCTGCAAGTGATTTCTATGTATATAATGAGAGATCAAAGATATATCCTCCCCAAAATAGACCTCTTAATGTAAAATGATTATAAAGTATTACCACAGGCAAGATAAATGCTCCTCATGGTGATAGAAAGTTGAGTTCAAGCCTTATGAGAAAAGTATTTTGCTATTATTGCTGTTCATGTATTTTAATTATTTATAGGCATACTATCAAGAACAAGAAAGGATTTTTATATAAAAACAATTTATAAAGCTGAAATATTTTTCCCTTTCCTTTCTTTAAGGTTTTGACCAGCAAAATGTTTTATTTGGGCTATCTGATAGCAGTTCACAGCCGGAAGAAAATGAAAATAATATGAGAGGTTTGAGTATTTGACTCAAGTGAGAGGAAGCAACAACTTAATTAGTTTATAGCATGGAACATGATTTCAATTGCTTTTCCTAGAGAAATTAGGTATGAACTTTTAGATTGTGTTTTATCAACTGCTTTATAAATCCCTTGTAAAATTTCAGTAGGGGTGGAGAAAGCTGATCTTGGAAACATTTTTGCAGCGACTCAACTTAGATGTGTAGAAGCAAAGATTTAGTGTTGTTTATAAATGTTTCTAGGGCTAAGTCTAAAAAGAGAAAATAGCTGGTAGAGGTTTTAATTCACCTTGTATCCAACAAAGAAATGTTCAGAAGGAGATGCAGCAGTGAGAGGCACCTCTGCTGGGTCCTGCCCCCCTTCCTCAAACCAAGGACTTCAACAGTGTCGTCATTCTGTCTTTTTTCTTTTCCTCACAGTAGTAATTTAATTATTATTTGGCCAAGCTGCACTTACTGCAGTATCTTTCATACTAATTTAGGCACTTCATCTCTTGAATGATTAATGTTGACTGTGCTCAGAAATCTCATTGAACCTCTCCAACCCTGAGATGTGTTGAAGCGTCTGAACTGGTTTTGATGTGAAGTCCTCTGTGACAAACAAGAATTACTAATTTGGGCTAATATATGTATTCCATAAGCAGCCAGTGACCTTGCTGTCTTGGCCGGTTTCAGGCTGTGTCTGAGTTACTGTCTGCTGGTTCTCTGGGGGCTCTGGGGTTGCTGCTTTCTGGAGTTTTCTCTCCTCCTGAACATCTTTTTGATATTAATCCCCCTTACCTACAATGCTTGCTGTAACTCCAATTCTGATCACTCTACGTTCATTCATACCTGTATTTTAACCTTTTCCATCCTGACAGTGTTGGCAAGGCTCACTCCAGTGACTTATATGAAACATTTCATTTTAACTAAACCCAGCTCCATCACTTGCCTCACAGCTCTAACATTTATTAATAAACCCACTGACATCTACCATTACCACTCCATATCTATCCTTTGATCAATTCCTGTTTATAAATAAAAACCATAATTAATGTTTCATTTCAAGCCCTGTAACTCACAGTGGGGAGAGGGCTTGCTTGGAGTTCAGGCAGGCAGTCAGATGCACCATGTCCTCTCCATTCACCAATTTGTGGAGGCTGATGAAAAAATTGCTTTCCACATGAAATTAAATATCCTAGGAGAGAAGATGTTTTGAAAGCTGGGTGGCAAGAAATGTTCATACAGTAATTAATATTCAGTGCAGAGGAGAAGTTGGCTGTTAATTTTCACAAGTGTTTTATGATGGCAGGAGTACTTTAATACAGAAAGCACTTCATAGGTACAGAAAATAACTATTATCTGTGAACAACAATAGAAGCTATACATCAAGCTGTTGATGTAGCAATCCCATTTTTAAGATTTAGTGAGGCTTGCTTTTAATTTTAGTCTCTACCAAGCCTTCCTGACATATCACTGCAATGTCTCTCAGTCTGTTATGGTGCTAAACTGAGTGCAGTCTCCCCCCATCAATAAACACACCCCATTATTGTGAGTACAAAACTCAGTAGTAATGTTTAGGGAATAAACTTTCATAAAATTTGGTTGTTGGATCCTCCGTTTTTCTTTTTTTTTTTTTTTTTTTTTTTGTCTTCTCATTGGCAGTAGATATAAAATGAAATAGGAACATAAAATTTGTCTCACCAGCTTTCCTGTGGTTCCTGCCACTCACTTTTCCCAGGCCAGGCTCCTCTGGGTCCTCTGAGCAAAGCTGAATACACCTGGGGTCAAACACCTCTGAAAATACTTGACAAGAAATAAAATGGCTCCACAGCCCTCCCACAGTCTCATCTGCTTCTCTGAAGGTCAAAACGTGCATCTCCACCACATGTTCTTTATTATGAAGTAATCGCCCATTGCTTTGGTAGAGGAAGGAAAGTTTATAAAGTCTGACTGAGCCATTGGATTTACTTTGGAGAATAGGTTTGAAAGACTTGTAGGAAGTTGCCTTTCTATTTTGCTGCATCTAAAATACTAATCAGGTAGCTGGTGTCAATGTGGGGTGTTTTCATATGTGTAAAATTTGCATTTGGGAGTTTATTTTAATTTTTTTTTAATCAGACACAGTTAGCAAATGGCTGCAGGGAAGGCAGAGCACTGTGAGCTGCTCTATCTGCTTAGACTTCTTTTAAATACAGCGCCCAGCAAACAATTCAGGTCTTTATTTTTAGTGGAGGGTACTAATATTGGACTTTATTTCAAGGCAAATCAGTTGCCAAGGGGAAGTAAAAATCCATTAAAAAATTATAAGGCCTTAAAAAGAGAAACCATGTTCCAATGAGTATTTGTGCTGCTCTCCCACACACACTCACGTGTTCTACCCTGGGTCTAGACCTTGTCATCAGAATTTGATTGAAGTTATGGTTCTGATCTCCACAGAAGAGGTGAGGTCAAACCATCCTGTGCCTGGTGGGATCCTTTAGGTCCTACAGCATCCCAGAAATGGGCTGTGAGTGTGATGGATTATTCTGTGCATCCCCATCCGTCCAGCATTTCTCAGAATGGGGGAAAGACCCTGGCAGAGTAAATGAAAATGAGTTCATTGCTCAGGGAGGAGAATTTGTGGTTGGAAATGTTTAGAAACCACTGCTGCAAACTGCCATGACTTTGCATCTTTGTCCCCAGATAGATGCTTGCAAGGGCCACAGTTAAAAGATAATCCAGTTCTTCTGACAACTTTACACCTTCTGGATGCTGTGGTGGCTCATCACTCCAGTGCTGGTGAAACTTGTGATCATTGATCCTGGTGCTCTCTTGTGAACCTTGATCCTGGTGCTCTCCTCCATCTCCCTCTCTAATATCCTGGAGGAATCCTGTGATGGATCTCTGCTTGTTGGGCTGTGTCTCAGTCATTAAACCTGGCAGCAGTGAAGGATGGGCACCTCCACATCTCTGAGAAGACTGGGGTGGAATTTCTGCTCAGTCTCCTGTAAATTTGTCTGAAGTTGCTTGGGGAGGTGCCTTATGTATGGGTCAGCACAACTGGTCAGAAGAGGACATTGTTCCATTTGTGTAGAGGACATTATTCCATTTGTGTTTTGACTTCCTGCTGTGCTTTTCCTGAGTCCCTGTTGGACAAGAAAGAAAGGTAGAAAGAATCAGCCCTACCAAACACTAAAGCTGGGGAGTTCCCTTGTGAAAAAATGATCTGACAAGAAGAAAAACTCTATTTTAATCCAAATAAAGATGATTTTTTAAAGAGAAACATAGCGATGGGGAAAACAGAAAAAGCAAGACACAAATTGTTGATATGGTTTGAATGTTCTTCAGTAGAACAATGAAAAGAAAATTTAGTTTTTAAAATGTTGTGCCGATGAAAACAAGATTTACTTGTGTTAAAGAAACACTCAGTGGCACATGGGGCAAAATAAGGATTTCTGTTCCTGGATGATGCCCAGCCCTGCTGTTGGCCATGTACCTGCCTATGCAAAGTGCTCTGTGTGAGGTGGGACCATCAGGGGGCCTGGAGGAGATGTGTTTTTGTTCACAAAAACATCACCAGTGTCCTGAGGAGTGGGACACCAATGGGATCCAGCTCTGTGTGTCTGGAGAGTGGATATTAATGTAAGGAATTCATGTATTACATTAATTAATGCATACATTAATTAATATTAATTTAAAGAAATTAAATTTGGAGTTCTGTCAGGTTTTGAAACCTGAGCTTTTGAGACTCTGAAACAAAACCTGGCCTATTCCAGCACTCAGTGGAAAGCTGACTTCTTTCTTTGTATTTATTTTTAATCTGCTCTTGAGATGTAGCAATGGGATTTCTACCACTTTCTCAGCTGGTGGTTTTGGATGCTCATCTATTCTTTCCAAGATGTTTGCCAGGATCTGAAACAGTACTCAGAGCTGTCCTGTTCTTCCACATACTAAATTGAAATTATAGCTACAAATTTCAAAGGTGATCATGAAGATTCTGAAAAAAAATTAGAAAGAAAGAGTATTTTTAGAACAGCTGCACTGCAGCCTTTCTCTGAAATAGGAGAATGAAGAAACATCAGTATTTTATTTCAAGTAATGAGAGTATCCCTGTTGATGATGGATAAAAGAGCATTTTTTTTTACTTGGTTAATGGCTGTTATTTTAGTATTCATAAAACATGGAAATATTTGCATTTCTGTTATAATTTTTGGGCCGAACAGCATTTTACAATTGCCAAATTTTGGCAATTTTTTTTCCTGCCCTCTCTTGAGAGAAATAAAATCATATTAGGAAAAGCTGCAGATATTGTGGTTCTTCCCAGCCAAGAGCTAAAGCATCCAGCCCTGTAGCTAGAGGGATGAACTGGGCTGCAAGATGTGGATACAGACATGTGCTGTAAAACACTTTGAAACCAGCACCACTTCCTATTTTGCAAAGCAGCTTTAGCCCTATCTGAGCCTTCCCAGAGAAATCCCAGCCCCACCTGGCAGGTGAGTGGCACATTTTGGAACAGGGCAGTTGTGAGTCCTGCTATCCAGAGCCCTCTGGATGCACCAGGATGATGCTCAGTGGGTACCAGGAAAGAGGTTGAGCCTTGTCTGTACTCTGGGGAGGTGATATTTGATGAAATAGCATCTGTGCTTCCTCATGTTATTTATATCCAAAGATATTGCCTTCTGATACAATCTCTGTGTTATCTCTGGTACATACAGTCTCCCTCAGGCTCCTTGGGAAAATGAGGCATTTATGATTTCCCTGGAAAATTACATTTTACCTAAATACATCCACACTGATTACAAAAGTGCTGCAAAAATCCTTACGTTTAGGGTTGCATGAATATTTCCATCCTAATTCTTTGACTGTGACATTAAACCTTTCTGAATTTTTCCTCTGAGGAGAATTTTTCCCATCCTCATATCTGCCTGAAGACTAATACATGGCTTTTCAACTTTGAGTATAACTTGTTCGTGTACTTTTGAACAGAATGGGAGACAGAAATAGAATTTTTCTTCTTATTAAATAAGCACAAGCAAATAGATCTTGCAGCTCAAGTTATATCTTTGGTTGGATAGAGAACCATCAGCCACAGCTTGAATACATTTAGAGGCTTTAATAATTTATAATTATTTTTAAGGGAACTTTACAGGATAACTTAGCCCTTAAAGGGTTAAACAGAATTTGTAGTATTTGAGTCAGGACTGAGGACCCCATTGTGGTCCCTTCCAATCTTATCCATTCTGTGATTCTCTGATTCTGTAATAGTTTTTTCTTGCTTTAGATTTTGTGGTTTCTTTAAAGAAAGTTTTCTTATGGCTAAAGAGAAAACACATGGAGTTTTAAACTATTATTTCAAAAGTGACTGCATGTGAAAAAACAAAACCAAGACTTTTGGGTGGAAATTCGGCAGTTTAACGACTGCTTTGTATCAAAAAATGGCACCATGTGTCCTGTGGGCCACAATGTGATCTCAAAGACAGTGGTTTGTCTAAATCCAATCTCTAATCCCAATCTAAACCCAATCTCTAATTTCTGTTGAGACTATTCAGCCTCTTTTATCTGTATTAAAGAACCACCTTCAGGGAGCACCAAGAGGGTCCAGGAATTTCTTTTGTTTAATGCCATAACAATAAATGGCAACAGTTTTGTTGTAGAAAATAACTGGGGAAGAACTTGGAAAAGAACTGTCCCTAGCTCAGTGAAGGTGATATTTTAAGCAGGAAAAAAACTTTTTGGGTTTGATCACTGGCAGGGTGCTCAGAATTGACAAAATGCTTGGAAGTTACAGGATTTGTCTGGATTTGTATTGCTCCTCTCTGTAGGAAAGGGGCCAGCCAGGAGATCTCTCTGTCTCCACAGAAGGAGGAAAAAGTGGATTTGGCCAGACAAGATGACTGCTACTGAAAAGAAGCATCCATGCCAATTTGCTGTTCCTCATATTTGTTGAAATGCAAGGGAAGGAATTCTTTCTTCACTTGTAAGTCACCAGCAGTGCATGAAGTCATAAAGAGGGGGGTATTTTGAGTTTTGGCAGCTGTGAATGGAGAAGGAAATTGTTTTCCAGATTTATATTATCTGTCATGGTTCCACCTTCCCATTTTTTCCTATTTAGCTCCTGTGAAGAAGGGCAGCCTTTAAAAATTAATAAGTGCAGTAATGATAAATGCTACAGTGGACGGGAAGGGAGGGGAGATTAGTTTAAAGGGAGACTTGGCAATCACACAGAAACATCCTTGAGCAAAAATCTAGAATTTTTTATGAAAACCAGACCACTGCATCTGAAACACTTGAAACAGAATATAGAGCCCAAGCAGCTGAAAGTTAATTTCAATTTTTAATGATAACATTTCTGAAATTTACTGAGCAAACTTAAGCAAAGCATTTGCTATTCAACGGCAGTATCTGCTTCATCCTCAGTATGTACTTGAAAACTTCTCTGTGCCTGCTGAGAGAGAGCTGCAGCAATGCTTGTTGCTGTCCCATCCAATGACATCAGAGCATCTTTAAGTTTTGTGAAGAAATTCTGACTTACTGAAAAAAATCAGCACCTTCCAATTTCATATGTTAAATTATTTAAAGAACTAAAGGAAAAAAGAGCATTGGAGATGTGTGTTGGTAAAGCTGAGGTATGGTACACCAGCTTCTGTGAAATTCAGTAGATCTGCATGCATAACTAGAAATATGTCTAGCAAAGTGTCTTAGCACAAGTGTTTTCTAGCACTCTGCATATTAAAAGTAGAGCCTGGTTGCAAATTCTTACATGAAAATGATCACCAGGTTAATTGGATACAGAGAGAAAAT